ATATATGCACACATGTCCCCCGCCACAACTTGAATGTCATGCCATGCAGTGTATAGCATATATAAAACCCAATATCGGTGTATATCATTGACTCTATTTAGTTTAAGTACATACTAAGCACCTGTTCAATCAACGACGTGTACTTGATATATCGCCCTTGCATCCATTTGCCACCGCATGAGTTTATTGCGGTTAAGTCACTCACCACATTCAATGATGATGTTACAACGATATACAGAGGAAAGTGGAAGAAGGAGGATTCAAAGGAAGACAAAGCTCTAAAGGATTCGCTGATGAGTATGTGGTTTGGATGTTTGTGTTGGGGTGCTTTGAACAGTGTGTGGCGGCTGCTAAGAGTGTGTCGGTTGTCAGTGCGGTGTGTGTGTTTGTGGACGTACTTTTATATATATATATATATATATATATATATATTACAGTTGTACTGCAAGCATTGAAGCACCTTACGCTCGGCTGTACCGCTCACTCGTGCCATTCACCATATCGCCCACTTAATCCTAAATCGTATTTATTAAGCACATTACGCATCATATGTATTAAGCACATCACACATCATACATATTAACACCTTATGCAACATATTTAATAGACACATTACACATCATAAGTATTAGGTACCTAACACATCACACATATTATCACCTTATGCAACATATTTATTAAGCACATGACATTATGCAACATATTTATTAAGCACATTACGCATCATAAGTATCAAGCACCTGACACAGCATACGTATTAACACCTTATGCAACATATTGATTAAGCATATTACGCATCATACATATTCACACCTTGTGCAACATCTTTATTAAGCTCAATACGCATTGCAAGTATTGAGTACCTGACACATCATACATACTAACACCTTATGCAACATATTCATTTTGCACCTGACACATCATACATACATACTATCATCTTGCGCATGTCTTGCCCGTGCACGCTATCGTCAGGTGCGATTGTCAGTGAAACGCCCAATGTGTCGTGGGATGATGTCGCGGGATTAGAGGCAGCCAAGGAGGCGTTAAAAGAGGCGGTCGTTCTGCCAATCAAATTCCCCCAGCTGTTCACCGGCAAACGCACACCCTGGAGAGGTATTCTGCTGTTTGGGGTAGGTAGACGACGGCTCTTTCTTTTCCTGTATCTTTCCCCTTTTCTTTTTCTTTTTCTTTCTTTTCCTGTTTCTTTTTTTTGTTTTGTCTTTTTTCTTTGTCTTTTTGGCTGCATTTGTGAGATGGATCTCGTGTTGTGCATAATGAATATAGTTTGGTATGTAGAATGTGTTGCCGGCTCAAAAAATCTGTGTGTGTATGTGTCGATAAGAAAATTTCCTCGTATGTGTTAAACTCAACTCCTGTATCGATGTATTCTCACCTTCTGCAGACACGAAAATACAACTTCTACACCTACGCAAAACTACCTCTACGTTTATTTAAATTTAACTCTATCACTCTAAATCCAACATCCACATTTACATATATTTACCTCAACCTTTACGTAAATCCATCGCTCTGGTGTACCAATTCATGGTCACATCTCTGTGCCTCTGTAGCCTCCTGGTACGGGAAAGTCCTTCTTAGCCAAAGCGGTGGCGACGGAAGCCAAATCAACGTTTTTCTCAGTGTCGTCGTCGGATTTGGTCTCCAAATGGCTCGGGCAGAGTGAGAAGTGAGTTCATCCGTGTATTAATAGGTGTTTGTATCGTTATACATGTTGTATATATATATATATATATATATATATTCTTATATATTTCTAGGGTTTCTGGATTTGAGAGGTTTAGGGTTCTTGTTAAGCTCTGTGCCCTGGAATCAGCTGGTCTGCGTCGGTGGCACGATGCCAACTACACTAAACGCGGCAGTGTGAACATGTCATGGACACAGGAGCGATAGGCTGTAAACTCCAAGTAGAACTACGCGACATGCACATGTCAAGTGCACATGTCAGGGGTACACCTGACATGTACAGGTGCCGTATATAGCCTGTAGTACATAGCAGTAGTCTGTTATGAAATGGGAGTGGGAGTGTGTGTGTGTTGTGTCTTTGTCTGTGTGTGTGCAGGAGTACCATTTGTGGCTGCGTGTGTGTGTGCAGTGCGCTTGTGTCTGTTTATATAGACCTCTTGTATTGGCTGAGTGAGTGAGTGTGTTCAACCTGTATTACGCAAGAGTATCGAATAACGTATCCTTGCACCATCTGCAACATGTACCCGTACGCAGTATGCACCCGTCCTTAACACATGAGGTCCAAATATGTCCCGAACATCCGAATATGTCCCAGACTAGTGCCATCAACTGTACGTGTGTGAGATATCTTCTACAACTGGCCCGTCAGATTTATATCGCCTCTGTTCAGTGTATGTGTGTGACTCGTGCATTTCTGTGTTAGTATGTGTTCATATGCGGAAGCAGGCCAACTGTACACTGGGCGTGCATGTTTAGGGTTTAGTATTGGGTTTTCAGTAGGTATATATCCGAAGAGTATAGACTCGTATTCGCAATCTGTGATTGTAGGAATTTTGAGTGTTTTTGTTAGTGTTATATAGAGGTATCATACTGTCCGTTTCCGTCATACCTTGATGTGTGAGTTGTGACGTCTAACGTAAACGTATTTCTGTACATGTTAACGTTTTTCCTAGACTGGTTTTAAGTCTCAATTTGCCTCATTTTTGGTTGCGGTAACGTACTTCCTAGCAACAATAGTCTCACAGCTCTGCATTCTTATATACGTTGACGTACTTCTTAGTACTGGTCAAGTCTCACAATATCATCTTTATATGCGTTAGCGTACTTTCTAGTACTGGTGTCTTTTTTCTCACAGTAACGTTTTACTACACAAGTCAATGAGCTTCCTAAGAGCCGGTAAAATCTCACAGTTCCTTTTTCCTATATACGTCAACGTACTTTCTAGTACTGGGGTTTTTTTCTTCTCACAGTAACGTTTTACTACATAAGTCAATAGGTGCAGTCTCACAGTAACGTATTCTCATATACTTTATCGTGCTTTTTAGTACTGGAGTTTTTTCTTGCAGGAACGTTTTCCGACATACGTCCACGTACCTTCTAGTACTGGTCGTGTCTCGCAGTTCCATATTGTTACCTTCATTGTAGTGCCATTTAGGTTTTTGCGATGTCTGTCGTTTATCATAATCTAACATATGTTAACATACTTCCCAGTGTTCGTTTTTCTCCCTGCAGTAACGATTTGTACATACGGTAATGTACCCACTAGCACCAGTGCAGTCTCACCCCAACGTATTCTGACATACGTTAACGTCTTTCCTAGGCTGGTGAAATCGCTATTCGAGATGGCCAGGGAGCAGAAGCCCTCGATTGTGTTCATTGACGAAGTCGACTCATTGGCTGGGTCGCGGTCAGAGGGACAGAGTGAATCTTCAAGGCGTATAATGACCGAATTTCTGGTGCAAATGAACGGTGCGTTATGGACTCTGCCGAACGTATTTATATATGTGTGTATGTGTCTGCGGATCTTGTTCTCGTGAGGATGCGAATTTGATACGTTCAGATGGTCATGGAGGAATGTAGCGGAATCTATATGTAAATGTACATGGGTATATATATATATATATATATATATATATATATATATATATATATNTCGTGTGTGTGTGTGTGTGTGTGTGTCTCTCTCTTGTGTAGTGTCGTGTGTAGACGTACGAC